AGTGTTGTGGGAATAGGGCGGTCAAATGCATAAATTGAGTTGCATTTAGGAATTTTTTATGGATACATGTATGTACATTTAGATTAGCATTTAGAGCTAAATGTGCTTTTACGCGTAAACAAAAACTTCCCATTATAAACAACGAATTCCTCGAATTTGTTAATCTATTGTCTCCACAATCTTCAGTTAATAATAAGGTAAGATATACATAGGTATTTATTTTAATAATGTCATGCAAGAAAGTATTTCCCCATGAGTTTGTTTAACTTTCCAAGACCAGTCTTTGGTTCAAATTTGACCAATCCGTAAGGTATAAAATTTTTAACACTGATCAAATGTTGCTGGTAGAATTCCAGCTGATATGCGACATTAGTCGTGTGGATAATCCCTATCCACTAGCTGTCTGGGATACTTTAGAGGAAGATGTTTATAAAGTGGCACTTAAATTTCTACCAATACTCGCCACCTCTGTTCCATCGGAAAGGCAATATTTTCAAAAAGTTGTCCGTAATTACCAAATATCAAGAAATTCTTAGATTTTTTTGGTGAAAATTTAAAGATTTTTAAATTATTTTTCAAAAATACATATGAATTTTTAAAAACCCTCACAACCAACATTTTCATGCTGTATAACTGGAACAATTTAAGAAATTTTGAAAAATCCTTAGTCTCTGTTTGTTTTTTTTTTACCTAGCATTGAATTTCACTAAATTACATATTATTACCACTAGTAAATCATGATATTTTTGGCGTATTCTGATCCTTATATTTATATCTAATATATGAGTTAAATGCATAGTATACTTAATACATTTTTTTTATTAAAAAGCCGAAAAAGTAACTTTTCTTCCGATTGGTCGACTTTTAAAGTCTACTGTACAGAGTCGATCGAAATGTCGAAAGTCGACGTTCTAGTAATGTCGAACAACCCTACGCATCGGCTGTTGTCATTGTCCATGCTTCTGCGTCATATACCAGCACGAGCAGGATGAGTGACTTATAGAGTATGGTCTTCGTACGTCCAGAGAGGACTTTACTCCTGAATTGCGTACTCAGTCCAAAGTAGCACTTGTTGGCAAGAGTGATTCTGCGTTGAATTCCCTTGCTGACATTACTATCGGTGTTATTGCTGGTTCCCAAGTAAACGAAATTCTCTACTTTTTCGAAATTGTAACTGTCAATTGTGACGTGGGTGCCAAGGCGCGAATGTGCTGACTGTTTGCTTGATGGCAGGAGATACTTCGTCTTGTCCGTCCTCGTTTACCACCAGATCCATTCGCTTTGCTTCCTTATCCAACTTGGAAAAGGCAGAACAGACTTCGCGGTTTTTGTTACCGATGATATCGTTGTCATCGGCATAAGCCAGCAATTGCACGCTCTTGTAGTAAATTGTTCCTGAGCGGTTCAGTTCTGCAGCTCTTGTTATCTTCTCCAACATCAGATTAAAGAAGTCACATGAAAGGGAGTCACCTTGTCTGAAACCCCATTTGGTGGCGAACGGCTCGGAGAGGTCTTTCCCAATTCTGACGGAGCTGGTGGTATTGCTCAACGTCATTTTATACAGCCGTATGAGTTTTGAGGGAATGCCGAATTCAGACCTAGCGGCGTATAGGCAACTCCTTTTAGTGCTGTCGAAAGCGGCTTTAAAGTCGACCAATAGGTGGTGAGTGTCGATCCTTTTCTCGCGGGTCTTTTCCAAGATTTGGCGTATTGTGAATACCTGGTCTATGGTGGATTTGCCAGGTCTAAAGCCACACTGATA